CAATGAAGAAAAATAAGCATCTTTAACCATGTGAAACTTTCACATTTGTGACATTTCACAAATAATATTATTCGCATCGAATAATAAGGTACATTTCATCTTATTCACCATATTCACATTTGAAAGAATAAATCAACCATAGATTGACAAGTTGTGCTTTCAAAGTCACAACCTTACAAAATGACATATCTCTTGAAATTACTCCTAGTATATTTTATAATATTCTTCACAATTTTTGCATAACATAGTTTTTATCCTTTACAAATGAATGTAATTTGTCAATCATTATCTTTAAAGATATTCGGCACCACTGCCAACTATAGACACAATTTGTGTTCTATAAACTATTTTTATATCCCAATAATTGGGCAAGCAATTTTCACTTTAAAATAATTAGGATAAAATCACATTTTGTCGTACTCTTATACAACTATAAATTTGCATAAGTCATCTCATTTAATTTCATAAAATTAATTGAGGCTATCATCATTAATCAAGGTTTGTATAATTTTCAAACCAAAATCCATGGACATATATCGAATTTACAACTTCATACCATATATGTCACTTACCAGATTGACGCATACCGTATATGTAATTTACCATATATGCAACCTACCATATACACAACTTACCGTATATGCCGCTTATCGTATATGCGACCTACCGTATTTGTATCTTACCGTATTTGTCAGCCTACCGTATTTGTTGTTTACTGTATTGCAGCCTACCGTATTTACTGCTTACAGTATTTACAACTTACTGTATATGCATATACCGAATTTGCATATGCTAACCAAAAGTCTATACGAAATCCAAACTCTTGTATGAATTCACCAAATAAATTCACTATTTGGAATTCACGTTTATACAAATGACATAATAATGTCGCATTCCATATTTGCTTTTGTATTTTATTCGAATGAAAAATTAGCGATACAATTCTTTAAGGAATTTACCATCAAATAAAACTGTCAATTCATAATTTCCAATCAAAAGCCACCACAAACTGTTTTCATTGCATTTAACATGAAAATCTTATTATTCCAATTTTCGGATTCAACATGCAAAGATACCTAAAACAGTTAAAAAAATTATAATAAAATTCCTTAGACAACTTATGGCACAAGTTCTTTTAATATAGGTACACCCGTTGGATTAAGATCACCAGCAAATAGAACTTAGCAAATGAAACTGCCAAATCAACAAATTAAATAGTGTTTGGTCAAAACATATTTCATCCATTAGTCATACCATTCAATTACAGTAACCCCATCTACCATTTAATTATACAAATCCATATAAAACATGCCAGTTATTTTGCATTAGCATTATAACAGTCGGCTACTTTAAATTGAGACAGTTACAAAATTTTCAAGGAGACATCAAAACGTATCCCCAACACATGCAATAAAGGACCCTTTCATGCTATTGACAGCGATGGACGTTTCAAATGTACGTGCACAACCATATTCATTAAAATGATGGCATCGACCCATGAACATTAACCAATATTAATTTGTATGAATAAACAATTATGCACAATCATAAATGTTCAGAGTATTGCCAAAGTCACCGGTTCAGTTGTGAATGTATGCATTTAATATATACCATTCAACCATGGCAACAATTGGAAAAGATACACACTAGTGCATGAGATTGTTATTATCTTCAACAAAACACATGCATTAATTACACAATAGCAGTTGGCAACTTGGCAATAGGCAGAACATACAAATTCTTTCCAATCAGAACATATTTAATGTTATTTTGACGGAAAGGAAATTACTGTATATTTAATATCACATAAAGCATCATATAAAATGTACAAAACACTAGTAAATTCACAATTTGTCATCTTAAGCACGTATAAAATCATTCTATTGTGAAATCGAGGCAGTTACAGAAACTTAAATGTGAATAGATACACTATTCCATAATAATTCAACAAGGTATTCCAATGTTCATATGGGTCGGCAGAAACTAATTCTTACCCAAATTAATTTTGGTTTAAAATTTTGGTGCAGTTTTTTAATCTATATATATATATAGATTCCCAGGCTGCAATTAACCTTTTGGCCCAAACATCTTTTGACATTGGACAGACACTCATACGACGGAGAAGTGCTAGAAATAAATTTCCAATTTCGGCAAACGAAATTTCTTTGAACCTGAATATATGATGCATGAAAATATAGAATTCATCTTAAGATTGTTGAAAAATTACACCGATATTATGCATATTATATTCACAAAATCATGTCGTTTATTTGTGTGAAATCAAAACACAATTTCGACTTACAGAGATAGGATTTGAGAAGATAAAATAAGAATTTATCGAATCCGAATGCCTGAATATGGATTCTTCCCTTTCAACTCATGATCGAAAGCAAATAATTCTTTGGATCAAACCTTGCAGGATAAACATATAAATAACGTTAATCATTTTCTGAAATAAAATCATAATAAAAGGAATAAGAAAATGAAGAAAGAAGGTGCAAATGACGGATTTTTGGTCGAGGCAAGTGTTGGACACTTTGTCCTTAAGACGAATTTGTCCCGCATCGGTGCTAACGGTTCTCCGACAATCGTCTCCCAAGATACAACGATCACGTCGAGCCATAGGAGCACTCCAAATGACTTCGACCAGCGAACTCGAATGAAATTCCCTCTCTACCGTGACCATGACCATGACCATGACTTTGATGCAAATGTTTTATACAAAACCTAAGTGTAAATTGGAATGAAATGATATGGTATCTATGACTTTTTTTGAATGAATAAAATTCAAACACGTGGGGTCTATATATATAGTAGTTGGAAAGGTATATCAAAAAACACAACTATACCAAGAAACACATATCTTGGAATTCATAATTATTGGACATTGATCATACCCATACCAAGAGTCATGATCTTTCATACGAAAAGCCACATTTTTTCCTCCATATATTTCTAGAATATTCCACAATATTCTATACGATTTTTTCAATAATTTTCAGTATTTAAGTGGTTTACATTTGGCTTAATTTCTTATTCACCAAATAACGAATTCCACTTAAATAATCATTTAAAATTGGTCACAACCAATTTCCGATAAAAAAAATTCCAACACATATAAATAAATTTCACTTGCCCTTTTTAATAGACTAAAGACATCATTGAATTTGAAAATTATCTAAAGGAGAGGCTAGGAGCATGCTGCATTTTATTACAAATTGGACACAAAAGGGTACTCTAACTCCAAACATTTGAAGTAGGGTGTTTTCGGCACATTTGTAAGTGAAGTAAAAAATTATTTGTTTTCGATTTGCATTAAATATATTATTGTGTTACTCATGAGAAAATGGAAGCTCCCTTTTATTGTTCAAATAAGATATGAAGAGATGTTTTTGATACATGAAAGGGGCTGTCACAACTGGAAATAAAGTGGACTGCGTGGTCATCGGTTCACTTTGCAAAATTGACAGCGACACAGATGATCAAGGTTTGCATTTTTAAAGACAATTATTTTCACCATTTATTCAGGTGTTTTTTACTCAATAATACTTGTGGTACTCAACCTCTACTAAAAAATTACTGGTTAATTCAAGGTGTGGTAATGGTTTGGTATAGTGACAAGTGCTCGGTGATTTAAAAGCTCACTTTTTAGTAAAATTTCTAGCTATGTAAATTTTTTATGAACACTTAGATGACACTTTTAAAAATGCTTAAATATCTATTTCATCTAGTTTTATATACCTTTCACTTCAATTATAATTTAGACATGTTGGATTGACTGGACATGAAGTTTAATTATCACCGAATTGAATTTGTTGATTTTGTCCTCCTTTTTAGAAAGTATAATTCAGGCTACAGTGATTTGTTTTGAGTGAAATTAGTCGGGTTTGAAAGGTTTATAAGTCTTCTAATACTAATCTTTGGAATTACCTTAAAATATTATTTAGAGAAAAAGTTATGCTCATTTTAGCATATTGCATCTAGTTAATTTCAAAAATACCGTTAAGCATAGTTGAAAAATATTTTTGTTGAGACCCAAATTTTCTCTCTCTCTCTCTCTCTCTCTCTCTCTCTCTCTCTCTCTCTCTCTCTCTCTATATATATATATATATATATATATATATATATATTTCATAAATTTTAGTTGACGTTTGCTTGGTCAAACATATTTTTAAACATATTTTTCTTTTCGCAGCTACGCAACCAGTGTTTGCTGAATTTTATATAAATGTTTTTCAAAATCAAATTATACCATAATTGTCTAAGTCTATATTGTCAAATGTTAAGATCTTCCATGATTTTTTCTATATATTTTAAATTCCAAAACATTTTTTTATTTACAATTTATTTTGGCTAACATCATAGAGCTCAAACTAAGATTAATTTTTGACGTGTCGAATTCCAAGAATTTGGGGCATTACAGTGCCAGTATGGTCGTGCCCGTCAATAATTGTGCTCCGAACTTATTTGATGCCAGCCCAACATTTGGAGCGATCGTAATTGTGGAGCGACCCGAGTTAGTGATTGTGAGATCTGTAGAGTCAATGATGATTGAAAATGAGAAGCTAATTAGGGGGTTATTGACCTCATGGAACAAAGGGATAGTGTTTTTTTTTTAATTTTTAATTTTTAATTATTATTATTTATTTATTTATTTATTTATTTTTGCGATGGGAAAAAATGTATAAAAGGAGAATAAGAGAAAAATGATACAATATGAGGACTTATCAAGGATCAACTATCTTAGTACTACTTTCCCCTAAGTGCGTATAACGTTGAAGTTTTTGATGGAATGCGTTAGTATTGGTATGAGTGCACCTGTCGATAATTGCGTGCCGAACTTATTTATGTTAGTCCAGTGTTTGGAACAGTTGTAACTGTGAAGCAACTCTTGTTAGCGATTGTTTGGTCAAAGTTTTCCGTGCCCCTTATCATAATTAACTTTTAAACCCACCAAAATTCCTATAATATCAAAAATATCTCCAAACTCTATCTTCTTTTCTTTTTACCCCCAGAATTTTCCATATATCGTAAATTTTTCCACTCTCTTTTTTATCTTTTTCCCCAAGCCACTCTCTTCAGTCCATCTTGAAAAGCCTATTAAACTGTCTCTCGCTTAGATCTCTTGCTGGGTATTCGAAATTTTCAATTCATGTAACTCTTCCAATCGATGTCTCTATATGTTGATTAGTTGATATGTGTGTATTTATGGGTTTAAAGTGATGATCTTAAATGGGTTTTGAATTTTATCCATCAAGAATCATATTAACTTTTTAATAATTTTTTCTGATTATTTATATTATTTCCTCGAGTAGATTTGGAAGAACAGTAAGTGAAGATGTCGAAGGCGGCAATAGAAATGCCACCAAAGGGTGGGTTCAACTTTGATTTATGCAAAAGGAATGAGATGCTTGCGGCAAAGGGTTTAAAGCAACCATCTTTTCTCAAGACTGGGACTACCATTGTGGGCTTAATTTTTAAGGTCGTGGTCTTTTTCTTTTTTAATTTCGATTTTACTGCAATTTCTTGATTGCGTTGCATTTTTGGGTTTATTTCATATAATGGTTTGGATTATTTTGATTGATATTATGGGTTGGTGATTGGGTGGTGGTTAATTTTGGGTAAAGTTAAGAACTTTTTGAAAGAGGTTATGTGCTTGAGTTATTATTTCTAATTGTACTATTATTGCTTTTGTTAATTGTGTTCCTTTTGTGAAGTTCCAAGCTAATCAATTGCTTACTTAAATGTATTCAGATTTATCTGTTGTGAAATTCTTTTTATCTGTCATGTTCGAATGCGGGAAAACAATGTTGTATGAGGTTTAAGAACTCATCCTATTATGTTTAAAGATTTCGACATTCTCTTATTGTTTGGCAAGTTGCCCTGTTTAATATGTGAGAATAGGCAACTATTGTCGAGTTGAAGTCAGGCAGGCTAGAACTTACCGTGTATGTCATAACTTTATGCATCTTTATTATTGGTGAATTATTTCAAAATATTATGTACCATCACTAGATATGTATAGGGCAAGGCATATTTCTGACTGGAAAATATATTTTATGTATAGTTTCACTTTCTTCTGTCATTTTAGGCTTCAGAGATCTGGTAACATTCTCTCCAGGCATTGTTCTGCCACTGCTGTCTTTGGAGGGATTTGGGAGGGTTTCTTAAGCTTTACTTGAGAGTTTTATGTGGTGGATTTACAAGGAGCTGTTTCATATCAGGGTTTTAACTCCTCATCTACGAATTTAGGTTGATGCCTGCAAAAGTGATTGTAATGGACCTTTAAGCTTGTTATGGTCAATTGGATGTCAGGGGTATTGTTGTTCTTAGATGGAAGTAAAAATTTTGTCTGAGATAATAAAAACGTAATCAATCTTCCTTTTTTCCTCTTTTTTCTTTTTCATTAAAGCATTTTAGAGTTCATAAATTATCCATTATTGTGCAGTTTCAATATTCCTTTAGATAATGAGGTGGAATGGATTGATAGCTATATATGCTAATAAAAATAGAAAATAGAGATTTCGTGGGGTCTGTAAGCCTCATGGATGTTGACACTTAACGAGAATGAACTTTTCATAAAGAAAAAGGAGTGTATGTGAACTTGGAAAGGACATTGCAAAAACCTTTGTTGCTCGGACTCTCCAAAAACTAAGAATTATCCGTGCTACACGACATGACACGGATATTGACATGGGATATGGATCGGATTATTCATTTTACATTCGGACACGGCAGCAAAAGGAAGAACATGGCAGAAGGTAAGTCTTGCTTCTTTGGTTTTGCGTCCGGCAATGGCAAAATTTGCAGAGATGGAGAGTTAGGGAAGACAATGTAGTGGGGAAGATGATGTGTTTTGGAGGTGTTAAATGGGCTCTTGAGAAGTTCAATGGATAGAGTTAGTGAGAGTGCATTAAATGGCTCTTTTGAAGTCCAATGGATGGAGTTAATGAGTTTATTTTTGTATTTAATTTGATTTTTTATTTATTATATTTTATCTATGTGAACATTTTATGTTGTAATTCAAATGGTTTATATATATTACATTTAATTTATTTCTATAATGAAAAGCTAATCCATCCATCCCACGAGGGGAAGTTTCTCTTTCATCATCAGCAAGAGATTGAAATCTCCTAGAATTTTGACATCAATTGCTGCAAAGGCATTCATAATTGAAGCAGAGAAATAATATATAAGATATTGAAATTGACTTTTTCCTTTAATTTTTTGACCAGAATTTAGTTTGACTTTAAATTTAAATTGATTTCGAATTATAATCCAATTGTCTAAATTAACTGATATTGGTTGTTAAAAAATGAACTCGTATTTTATTTAATTTATAATCCAATTGTTTAAATTGATCTTATCTAAGGAGTTGATAAATAAAATAAAATACGAGATCATTTTGTAGCAACCAATATCAGTTAATTTGTGTACAAGTTAATTTAATATTGTGGTTATTTGCTTTAATTGAACCATTTTTCTCGTTGTTATTTTGGCTTTGTTCTATCATTAAAAAAAAGGAAAAAAATCATAAGAAGTATCCTCGTACCCTTATCCAAAATTTGGATACTTTTTAACCATATCCCCATATCTTAATATTTGTAATGAGGAGGGTTCGACTCTTAGATATGTACCCATATCTGACACTCCCACACGAGTCCGAGCATCATAGGCAAAACCAAATGTCACACAAAATTAAAATTGAAGTAAAATTTCGTATACCAAGGTGATACATTGATGGTAGTAACTAGGTATGACAATTAAATTTCAGTTGAAGAATTTGATAGAATTCTGAAACTCAGTACAATTCTGAATGTATAATATTGCATCTTTGTTGTTCCTCTGATAAGCTCCCATCCGCCTCACCCATTCTAGAAGAAACAAGAAGGATTGAGAAGCAACTAGGAGGAGGCAGCAACAGAAATTTGTTACAAGGGCAAGTGGGGGGGGGGGTGGAATTTGTTAGGGAATGGCTATAAATAAGAGGGGAGAGAGACTTAGCAGGAGGCAATTATTGAGTGAGTAGAAGGGAAACCTTTAGGAGAGTTATAGCCCTCTCGAATGGCTAATTGTTCTTTACTTTCTTTGTAATTTTTTTGCAGTTCAATCAAAGTTCATTTCACTATTTCCTGTCATTATTTTCTTTACTGTTGGAACTCTATCATCCTCATTTTGAGAATTCTTGCCCGGGGCCAATTAAAAAGGATGTATTGATTTTAACTCACTTTTATATTGACTTGTATGCTGCAGGATGGTGTTATTCTTGGAGCAGATACACGAGCCACCGCAGGACCCATTGTTGCAGATAAGAATTGTGAAAAGATTCATTACATGGCCCCTAATATTTATTGCTGTGGAGCTGGGACTGCTGCTGATACAGAGGCAGTAACTGGTATTATTTACAACCTCTTCGTTAAATTTTATATGTACAAATTTGCATGGCTGATTTTTTATTTGAGAAAATGTCCAATTTCTTGATGGCATTGCTCTTTCTAGACATGGTCAGTTCTCAGCTGAAGCTACACCGCTACCATACTGGTCGCGAGTCCAGGGTGGTCACGGCTCTTTCACTGTTGAAGTCTCATCTTTTTAGGTCAGCTTATGAATTCTGAACTTGTTTGGCTAATAGAGATTATTGCGATTCTTAATGACCTTAACATTTTGTTTCTTAACCAGCTACCAAGGACATGTTTCAGCGGCTTTGGTGCTCGGTGGAGTTGATGTGACTGGCCCTCATTTGCACACCGTAAGTTTTTTTTAACACACCGGATTCGACAAAATATTTCTTTCAATATTTTTACATAGAAGGTATAATATAATTAAATGACTTCCCAGATATATCCGCATGGTTCGACAGACACATTGCCATTTGCTACAATGGGCTCTGGCTCTCTTGCTGCAATGGCTGTTTTTGAATCAAAATATCGTGAAGGCCTTAGTGTAAGTTCTTTTGTTCACAGCATTGGATACTTTTCTGAACCGCCTCATCTAGAAGGTTAAGGCTATTAAAGTGGACACATTTACTTAAATTTAGTCTTGAACATGCCCTATCACATGTAGGCTGGATTCATTTTTTCATTATTTGCGTAATGCGTGCAAAGTTTTCGTAAATGGGTGGCAAAAAAACTTGACCCAAGAATTTTGTTGCATTGATGCTATGTTGAACCATCTCATTTAAAAGCTTAAATGGTTAGAGAGGCGACACATTTATTTAGCTAAACTTAGTCTTTAATACTTAACAAATACAAATTGACGCAGGATGTGATAGTAGAATTACAGGAGAAGGGGAAAGGGGAGAGAAGAAGAGAAAAGAGGGGGAAAGAAGAGAAGAAGAGGGGGGAAGAGGAAGATAGAAATTGGGGAGAAAGCAATTTATTTCATTCATACAAAAGTTGTCTTATTACAATGCAAAAGAACCCTTTATACAGGGTTTGAAATATTATATTTTAAGAAGGAAAATATCTTATAAAAGCAACTAAACTAAACCTAATTATAGCTTCTAAAATACGAATTAAAATTGGAAGCCAAACATAATAATATTCCTTCTTATATTGCATAACAAATTCTTCATGTTGATTGAATAAATGATTTTGTAGAGGTACGAAGGGATAAAATTAGTAGCTGAGGCCATCTCCTCAGGCATATTCAATGACTTGGGAAGTGGAAGCAATGTTGATATCTGTGTAATAACACAGGTTTGTCTTTGTAATCATTGATAATGTTTGCCTACTATATCTAAGATGCTGTGGTTTAAATAATCTTGTTGATGCTTTGTTTTTCAGGGAAATCAGGAGTACCTAAGAAACCATTTGTTGCCAAATCCTCGTACTTATATCAGCGAGCAGGGCTATTCATTTTCAAAAAAGACTGGTTATTATCTTCATTTCCTACTCGTTCTTGGGAAAAAAATGTCTTCGTGATAATGCTTTTCGCAAAGGGGTATACTTATTATAGGATTGTTTACGAGGTTGCTGATATTTGTTGTACTTGCAGAGGTGTTGCTGACAAAGATTACACCAATGAAAGAGATTGTTGAAGTGATTGAAGGAGGAGATGCAATGGAGGAATGAGGTATTCTGGTTATAAAGTGCCCTGAAGTTATTTCTTCGAAAACTCTCATTATCAGCTTCACGTGTTCCATAGAATTCGATTGTCTTATGTATGTTGTGACTATTCTTCGGCTGGATATTCTGTTTTCCATTTTATCTGTATCGAATTTTGTTTCACCATTTTTATCTGTATCGAAGCTTTTGTTATTTTATAATATTGTTTTTTTAATGCTAATTAATAGTCTGTTTGTTTCCTATTTTCATTGAAAGAATGCATTTTTAAATAGTTGATTGATGAAGAGTGTGTGATTAAAAAATAAAGAAAAATTTTAATTTTGCGTGTAATATTATTTTATTGAAGAATGTGTGGTTGAAAAAAAAAGAGAAAAAAAAAGAAAGAAAGATAGATAGAGAGAGAGAGATGTATTTTGGAGAAAAATGGGTATCAAATAGGGAGTGAAGTTAAAACATGACATCAGTTCAATTATTTTGTAAAGTATGTCGATTAAGGAATAATTAAGCGAACGTACTTAGATAAACATGTTTTGCTCGGACTTCTCGTTCAAGAAAGCAACGTGGTCTGGACGGAGCAAATCATAAGAGAGAGGTAGACTTGAAGTCAACATGGTTTGTTGTAGTTTTTAATAATAATATATATTTGTTTTACATGTTCTCCGATAAGTCTTTAATTGGTTGGGATTAAAATTAAATTTTTAATGGATTTTGATAAATGTTGATGAAATGTGTGGTTGAAGAGTTATGTAATCTATAAAATATGTGGTTAAAATAATTAAAATCTAAATTTTAATCACAACCAAACAAGGGCTAAATTTGGAGTCTATTTGGAAGTGATTTTTTCCCCTAAAAAATTGATTTTTTGATCATTATTTTACTATTTCAGCTGTCATATTTGACTTCTTTTCTCACAGTTGGATCCCACTTTTCTCCTAACGGTCAAAAAATCAATTTTTAAAATCTCAAACAAGCTCCTGAAAATAAAGTGGATGGAGTAAAAAATGATAATCACTTAGAGATCCCAAATTTATTGAAGGTGTCTTGTTTTACATTACGAGTTATGTGCATAGTTGTAAGTCTAGGTCATGCTTCACCGATAGGGTTTGGACTACTTGATATCTGTTATTTGATGTCAGATATTGATTGAGTCATGTAATTTTATGTTCCATTGTGATAACAAATTGGTTATACGCTAACATCAGTTGTCGTATCACATTAAGTGTCAGCGAGTTAGATCTGATATGTATCTCTTTATATCTCGTCAATAGTTCATGGACATTGACTACTGCAATTTGAAGAAGAAATTTAACCCAAAGAAAAGATCGATGTATAGGTCGAACAGAGTTTGTAGTCAAACCTTTTTCATACGTCCGGATTACAAGTAATTCTGCACCATGATTTTAAGAAATTTTTGTAAGATATATATCCTATCGCAGTAGCTGCATAATTCAACAAATTTCAAGGTCTATTCTATAGTCACAAAAGGTCTCCCAAGAAATAATAAAAACATGATTTAAGAATATGTATAAAAATAAATTATGTGAAAAAAAATAAATTTATTAAAATTTTATTAAATAAAATTCTGAAAAAACAGAAAATAAAATTTTTGAACTTTTAAAAAAATTGTAAAAAACTATAAATATAAATAGTTCAAACTCTATTGATTATTTAATAAAAATGCTAAAAATTATATTTAATAAATGAAGATAAAAGTTTTTAAAAAGTTCAATTTTTTATTTTTTAGTTGTTTCCTATGTTTTGTCAACATAATTTATTACTTATTTTTATTTTACTATTATAACGAAAAAAAATATTGTAGGATTCATCAATTTTAAAATGTATATATTATTTAATAATATATTAACATAAAATTATTTTATTTTACTTAGCAATCTAATTTAATAGAATAAAATGTCATAAATTTTTTTTTTCCAAAATTTCGAATTAAATGTATTTTTTAGTAAACGTTTTTTTTTTAGAATGAAAAATTAAATATGTTTTCAACAATTTTAAAATAGACTTTTAAAGTAGAAACCTTAAATAAAGTCAAAGTTCAAAATTGAAATGCAAACTGAAATGCAAACCAAATGGTCCTTAAATATTGTCCTGACCAAAAATTTAAATAAAATAAAGCTTGGGGACTGGTTGGTGGAAAATTGTTATTATATTTTCTGTATTCCTTTTCCCCTCTTGTTCGAAGTTTGGACTCCTGAGAGGTACGATCTCTTACTGGATTTCAATCCCCCCAACAATTTTACTTCTTAGAATCCTCGTGCCTATGTATATATTTTCCTTCAATCAATTATTGAATATTAATTTTGTCTCTTAATCGTACTTTCTGAGCTACTATAAACAAAACCAATCAAAACCCCTGACCATAATTGTTTTGCGCCCCTGTTGTTTCCATAATTCTAGAATTGTTGATCTAGAGTTGTAAAAAAAGGATCTTTATAACGAAAACTTTGTATTGTGTGAGAATTTGTGGGTGTATATATATAATATTTAATTAATGGCGAATGCGGATGAGGATGATGCTGTTTTGAGCGATGTTGAGGCCGATGATCCGGTGCCTATTGATATAAAAATCCCTTTGCCGGAAGCTGTTTCGGTGGAGAGATTCCAGGACGTTCTTGCGGAGCTTGACCGGGAGAGGATAGCCCGTCAGGCCGTGGAGAACTCCAAGAATGACCTTCAGGTTCAGTTTAATAGGCTTAAAGTGCTTTGCCACGAGGCGATCAAGAAGCGCGATGAGAGCTCGAGACAGCGTGATGAAGCATTGAGGGATAAGGAGGAGATGTTGGGGAAATTGGAGAAGGTTTCTGGGGAGTTGAGTGAGGAAATCAAGTTAAAAGATGAGGCCCTGAGGCAAAGGGAAGAGGTTTTACTACAGTTAGAGGAGTTGGGGAAAGCAAGGGAGTTGTCCCGAGTTGAAATGGAGACAGGGTCATCAATGTTAGTTAGTGGAATTGAGAAAATATCAAAGAAAGTTAGTAGTTTTAAGGATTTTGGAGTAAATGGATTGCCGAGGTCAAATCAATACACAGGACTTCCAGCAGTGGCATATGGTGTAATTAAGAGGACGAATGAGATTGTGGAAGAGCTTTTGAGGCAGAATGAGTTGAATGTGAAGTCCAGGAACGAGGCTAGGGAGTTAATGGAGCAGAGGAATTATGAGATTGCCATTGAAATTTCTCAGCTTGAGGCAACCATTAGTGGGTTGAGAGAGGAGGTGGGGAAGAAAAGTGAGGAAATTGAGAGCTTAAAGAAGTCTGTGGATGAGAAAAAGGGGCAGGTAGCTGAATTGGAAAGTGAGTTTTTGGAGAAGCAGGAGGCATTGGATAATGAAGTGGCGAGGCTGAGGCTGTTGGTGAGCGATTACGAGTCAAAGATTGAGTCACAAAGGCCGTTGTTGGTAGATCAATTGAATTATGTATCAAGAATTCATGAAAAGATGTTTGATATTATGAAGATTGTTGATGCTAATAAATCCTCTGAGTTGTCTGAATCGTTATTCCTCGCAGGAGAAACAGATATAGAGGAAAATATTAGGGCGTCCTTGGCAGGAATTGAGTCTATATATGAATTGAGTAAAATTGTCGTTGAGAAAACAAGGGATTTGATGGAACAGAGGAGTCGTGAAGTGACAAGTCTAAATGAGACGGTTTCTCAATTAGTAAAGGAGAAAGAACAAATTGGCTCTTTATTGAGAAGTGCTTTGTCAAGAAGAACGTCAGTGGACTTGTCATCAAAAACAAATGAATTGTTTAAAGTTGCGGAGAATGGATTAAGAGAGGCTGGGATAGATTATAACTTCAGCAAACATCTTGGAGAGAGGAAGTTTCAAGATTCTAAGGATATATCGGTTGGTGGGGAAACAGAAAAAGATGAAGTTTATGCTCTTGTAAGTATGTTTTTAAGTGTTAGTTTCATGATGAACTCTCATTCTTGTAAGTATATTTTGTAGTGTTAGTTTCATGATGAATTTTCATTCTTCTTTTTCCTCTTATAATTCACCATTCTTAATGCAGGCTAGTGCACTGGAGGATATCATTAAACAGTCTCAGCTTGAGATCATTGAGCTAAAGCATTCTGTGGAGGAACTCAGGTAACCTATTTTAGATATGTATTTTTGTTATTTTATTAGTAATTTGACTTTTCTGCAAATATCATAACATATAAATGTTCGCCTTAGGTGGCCCCTGATCTGTCTATACCAAGGTCGAAGTCCTAGCAACATGGCAAATTTGGCTATTATCAATTCCTCCTTTCTCAGATGATAGAATAAAATAGGACATAATGCACTGATCATTAATCGAGAGTAAAATAAATTATCAATGTATCAAGATACTTTCTAAGAATGTATGTGACATAGAATGGAATGTGTGACGCCTATACCTCATTTGTCTGTATCATCTAAAAACACGCAAACACTCGACATGTAAATATGATGCACACAGCACAATTTCATTCTATTTTGAAAATTTCTAACAATGTGATATCACTGATACCATTATGTTCATCGAATATCAACAGTAGCCAAACTAACACTTGGTAACTTGATTCTGCTACGTTCAATTTCAAAAGCTGTGATATTACTAATATAGTTATGTTTGTGTCATCTCAAATGTAGGCAACCAATTATTGACATCTTGATTTCTTGATAATAACAATATTTTGAAATGGCCTGTGACGATTTGTTATACACAAGGAACTTGTTTACATGAGAAAAACATTGACCTGAGCTATTATAACGCGGGTAATTTTCATGCTACAATATAATACAGGAGCTTAAATTTTTTAGTTACTTTTGCTAAGATATTGTAGGAACTCTAGCATTTTCTTTGGACCTTATTTTCTCATCTATCATTTTAGTGAATTTATTGGTTGATGATTTTCGTATAATATTTTTTTCCGTTACAGTTTAACAGCTTAAAGATATCGAATTTTCTTATTCATGTATTTGGTTTTTCTTACTGTATTAATATTAAGATTTACATTTTTCCTTTTAATTTCTTTTCTAGAAATTTGAGTTCGTCTACACAGCCCTTTTTAAGGTTTTCTCCTTAGTTTTCCTTTAAAAACTTATAAGTTTACATGAATTATATTTTATACTTCTTGGCTCTTGCACTTCTGTCTGCACCAATATTAGCTTAGAAAAAAAATAAAAATTGCTTTTTAGTAATTTTTCATTACAACTTGATGAACTCGTAAACGAGAAAGAATCATTAGTTTATGGCGTGACTCGAGAAGGGAAAACTTGAGAAGGCAGTCGTGTAACTTTGAGTACAATGTAGGATGGTTCTGCATACTGGGTGTTCTCAGAGCAAACTAATATTGACATTTATGAAAGATGACGTGTAGATTGAGACTTTCCACCTGTTTAAGAAGTGTATCTGGAGACTCTCTGGTCTTACTTTTAATGAAGATTCTACGCAGTTTTGGACTAAGTTCCTATCAGTGGTATTGCTACTGAAGAAAAATAACTATATATCTAGCCTAATACCAGCCATAAGTTTGCTGAAGTCATTGAAAAATCATCGCCAATGTTTGATGCTTGTCCAAATTCCTTAGGATCTGCCACTGAGTTTTCTGCCTTAGGTCTTTTAAGTGCTCAGATAATTTTTAGATGTGAAATGTTGTTAGGAATCTGAAATAATAGATCTATTAGTGGGATATAGAAAAGATGTATGACCCTATTTAGAAAATTTTGAGCACACATAAACCTTCTGCAAGGAATGAATTCCTGAAGCAAATTCATACAGCCAAATTTGTTGCAGGTGAAACTACACGTTGATTGTTTAGTGGGAAGCTAAAACTCTGGTACGAGTTCTTCTCCGACACAAGGAAATTAGATTCAATAAGTACTTGTTTAAATGAGGAAAAAATAATAGGAGCTATTGCAGCACAGTTCATCACTTTAGTGGACAAGTTTGGAACTTGGGATTAGTAGAATCCACTTGTTTAAATGAGGAAAAAATAATAGGAGCTATTGCAGCACAATTCATCACTTTAGCAGACAAGTTTGGAACTTGGGATTAGTAGAATCGAAATATTGTTTCTGTGAATTATATATTCAGTTTTCCAAACCTTGATTATCAATAAGCAAACCTTTTAACTTCTCCGTTCTTTAAAAAAAATAATAAAAATAAAAAATTGGCTTTGCTGAATTAGTTTTTTTTTTCACGGTTGTTTCCCCTTGGTGTTCATGTAAACTAAGTAATCCACGTGGATTGAAGCCAATTTTCCTACCATCATACTTCCCCCTGTATCATGTAGCCTAATTTAATTGACTATTTATTTGTATGATAAGATATGAATGAATATCAACTACGGTGAATTTGTTGATTTACTTCGTTTCTTTTTGTATCATTTCCCCTTCGATATGGCAGTTTTATGTAATTTCTAATCATTAATATGTCTATGTACTAATTTAAGGGCAGAGTCAAGTTTTTTCAAGGAGCATGTGGACGCTCTGTCCAAGGAGCTCAACCAATGGAAACAACGCGTAGAAGAGCTTCAAGAGAAGGAGAAAGTAGCAAACGAAAATGTAATTTATCATTACTGTCCTTGAAAGATATCAACAAAACTAAATTCCAATATTTGATTCTCTCTCCTGTATGATTGTTTAACAATTTATAGGACTCGTGATTGATTCCTTGTCCATTATGCATGTATCATTCTCAATTCTGATATTTGAAAAATCTTAACTAGGTTGAAGGTCTTATGATGGATATTGCTGCTGCTGAAGAAGAAATTACACGGTGGAAGATGGCAGCTCAACAAGAAGCTGCGGCAGGGAAAGCAATCGAACAAGAGTATTTTGCACAGGTATAGTTAAGAAAGGAAGACTCAACTTTGCTTTTCTGATTTCTCATCCCTGGTTATTTTAGTGAACTTGATGGGGTTTACGATATCTCATGCTTTCAGTGAATGAAATCTTGAATGAACTTTGTGTGCCCAAAGATAAGCTAGAATAATTTCGGTTTGGTTTCAGCAAGCAAAATTTTCAAGTGCATGTTTAGCGAAGCTTATAATTTTTTTAAGCTAGTAAAGCATACTTTTTTATCCACACATTTTGTAGGATCCACTACTTATTATCCACTTATTATTCACATATTTTATATGATCCACAACTTATAAGTACTATTAAACAAGCACATATTGCGAAATTGTAGCTTCTCCGTTATGACCATATTTATTAAGCCCACAGTTTCTGAAGAGTTCTACGTAATGAGTTCTTACTGAACTTTTATGTTCCGTCTTTTATTATTCATGTTCTTAGCCATGATTTCCATTACTCTAAGAATGGAAAAATAAGACTCCATCTTGTGTATGTGCTTATGCAGTTGGAAGCCGTGCGACAGGAACTCGAGGAGGCAAAAAAGGCTGTGATTGAATGGGAGAAAAAGCTGAAATTCAAAGAAGAAACAGCAGTGGCAGCCATGGCAGCAAGAGATGCTGCTGAGAAATCATTAAAATTGGCAGATATGAGGGCGTCTAGGCTGAGAGACAGAGTCGAAGAGCTGACTCATCAACTCGAAGTGCTAGACTCCCAAGAAACCTCAAGAACGGGCCTAACTCGACCAAGATATGTATGTTGGCCATGGCAATGGCTCGGCTTGGATTTTGTCGGCTCACGTCCTTCTGCAACACCACAAGAAAGTGCAAATGAAATGGAACTTTCTGAACCCCTTCTTTGATTATCTTTCGCTTAATGATTTTTCCTTCCTCTCTTTGTATTTTTTTGTGAAACTTGAAAATTGGGACAGTTTAGTTTATAGCATATTGGTTCTTCAAAGGTTATTAGTATTAGTTGTACTTTACTACGAGCCATGAAAAATGAAATCTTCTCGATTCAAGGTACAATACAGAGGCAGATTAAAGGATTGTTTGTATGCAAAAGCGTGTCTATTTTCTGAAGATTATTCCAAAAGTTTTCAACTTTTAGAATAACCCTTGCCTAATTTATCTCTCGCCTATGTTTTTTGACTTACAATTAAATACCAAATATGATGGGTACAGCTCCATTTCCTAAGAAGCTGGCTCCAAGTGGGTGGGAGTGGGGCGGCAGAGCAAAAGTTGTGAATTGTGGAAAGTGTGAGCCCACTTCTTCTTGTCCATGAATAATAGAAAGTACAGTCATTAATGGTCAATTTACAACCCTGTTCTGTTGGAAATAGGTTTGTTGATGTTGAAATCCATGTGAGAAGTTACTTTTCGAGTGTTAGTCAAACATTTGCAAAATAGATGGACCGGTCAACTCGTGTAGTTATTATACAACGAGAAAAGTATTTAATTAGATTCTAATAATATCACGGGTTTTAACCTTTATCGTGTAAGATTGTGTACTTGAGTTCACGAACACTTTATATATACTATCTACAGTGTGTTGGTGGGTCAGTGAAATCACTACCTTAAGCTTTCATGTTGATAAACTTCTTTTGGAATGGAATATGTATAGTTTTGCGTTTCTAACACATTTTTGTTATGAGATCAATAATGTTCTGTACGTGTGAATTTGTAAAATTGATTTCTTGAGGCATAAATTCACTTTATTACTTGATTCACTCGAAATTAACTTTTATGCTCAATTAAACTTGACTAAATTGAACCCACCAAGGTTAGAACTTCAAAACCTACTAGCAAACTCATTTTCTATTCCCCCAACTTTGCGACATCTCTTCCTTTGCTATCAAGTCCTTATTTGATTTAAAATTTTTAATCATTTTTTCTTCAAACTCATTTTTAATCACATATTCTCTCAATAAATAATTTTACAAAGGATCTATAACTATTTTTACTTTTAATTACACATTCTCTAAAAAAATATTTTCACAAAAAACTCACTTCTCAAACATCAAAATCAAAATGAAACAAACTCCAATTCTTAAACTCTAAATTAATAGAAAGATATAACCAAATATGATAATTTTCTATTTGGTTGGCAGTTTCTCTTTGACTCGAAAAGCCTCTAATTTTGATTTGATTTCATTTTTAAAAAATATTTTTCTCAATCGTAGCGACCATCTTGGAGTGGAAAAGAAATATATAAAATGAGTTAAAAGAATGAAGATCACCCAACTTTGAGCAAAATTTCATTTTTACCATTCAAAAAACTTTTTATCTAAAATCATCATAAGGTAACAAAATTTAACTTCCTTCGAGTCCTTTCCTCATGGAAAACATATTTTGTTTACGTCAAATCCTCCTTGTGACATTAATTTGGTTCGAGACAAATGTAAATTCAAAGTTTTTTATGTGAAGTTCGTGTTGTTAAAGACAATTATTGCTAAATTGGACATCCAACATAAGAAAATTTGTCTGAAAAGTAAAAAACAAAACATTAATTTTTGTTACAACGTCCTTTAAATCAAAAGAAAATACGTAACTAAGAAGGGTGTGTTTAATTGGGACTTTTGAAGGCTTTGATGGACTTTTTAAGTGGTGATTTTTGTGGATTTCGTGAATATTTCAAAGATTTGTATGGAATTATTGGAAGTTTTTCGTAAACTTCTACTAAGATGCTGTGGTTTAAATAATCTTGTTGATGCTTTGTTTTTCAGGGAAATCAGGAGTACCTAAGAAACCATTTGTTGCCAAATCCTCGTACTTATATCAGCGAGCAGGGCTATTCATTTTCAAAAAAGACTGGTTATTATCTTCATTTCCTACTCGTTCTTGGGAAAAAAATGTCTTCGTGATAATGCTTTTCGCAAAGGGGTATACTTATTATAGGATTGTTTACGAGGTTGCTGATATTTGTTGTACTTGCAGAGGTGTTGCTGACAAAGATTACACCAATGAAAGAGATTGTTGAAGTGATTGAAGGAGGAGATGCAATGGAGGAATGAGGTATTCTGGTTATAAAGTGCCCTGAAGTTATTTCTTCGAAAACTCTCATTATCAGCTTCACGTGTTCCATAGAATTCGATTGTCTTATGTATGTTGTGACTATTCTTCGGCTGGATATTCTGTTTTCCATTTTATCTGTATCGAATTTTGTTTCACCATTTTTATCTGTATCGAAGCTTTTGTTATTTTATAATATTGTTTTTTTAATGCTAATTAATAGTCTGTTTGTTTCCTATTTTCATTGAAAGAATGCATTTTTAAATAGTTGATTGATGAAGAGTGTGTGATTAAAAAATAAAGAAAAATTTTAATTTTGCGTGTAATATTATTTTATTGAAGAATGTGTGGTTGAAAAAAAAAGAGAAAAAAAAAGAAAGAAAGATAGATAGAGAGAGAGAGATGTATTTTGGAGAAAAATGGGTATCAAATAGGGAGTGAAGTTAAAACATGACATCAGTTCAATTATTTTGTAAAGTATGTCGATTAAGGAATAATTAAGCGAACGTACTTAGATAAACATGTTTTGCTCGGACTTCTCGTTCAAGAAAGCAACGTGGTCTGGACGGAGCAAATCATAAGAGAGAGGTAGACTTGAAGTCAACATGGTTTGTTGTAGTTTTTAATAATAATATATATTTGTTTTACATGTTCTCCGATAAGTCTTTAATTGGTTGGGATTAAAATTAAATTTTTAATGGATTTTGATAAATGTTGATGAAATGTGTGGTTGAAGAGTTATGTAATCTATAAAATATGTGGTTAAAATAATTAAAATCTAAATTTTAATCACAACCAAACAAGGGCTAAATTTGGAGTCTATTTGGAAGTGATTTTTTCCCCTAAAAAATTGATTTTTTGATCATTATTTTACTATTTCAGCTGTCATATTTGACTTCTTTTCTCACAGTTGGATCCCACTTTTCTCCTAACGGTCAAAAAATCAATTTTTAAAATCTCAAACAAGCTCCTGAAAATAAAGTGGATGGAGTAAAAAATGATAATCACTTAGAGATCCCAAATTTATTGAAGGTGTCTTGTTTTACATTACGAGTTATGTGCATAGTTGTAAGTCTAGGTCATGCTTCACCGATAGGGTTTGGACTACTTGATATCTGTTATTTGATGTCAGATATTGATTGAGTCATGTAATTTTATGTTCCATTGTGATAACAAATTGGTTATACGCTAACATCAGTTGTCGTATCACATTAAGTGTCAGCGAGTTAGATCTGATATGTATCTCTTTATATCTCGTCAATAGTTCATGGACATTGACTACTGCAATTTGAAGAAGAAATTTAACCCAAAGAAAAGATCGATGTATAGGTCGAACAGAGTTTGTAGTCAAACCTTTTTCATACGTCCGGATTACAAGTAATTCTGCACCATGATTTTAAGAAATTTTTGTAAGATATATATCCTATCGCAGTAGCTGCATAATTCAACAAATTTCAAGGTCTATTCTATAGTCACAAAAGGTCTCCCAAGAAATAATAAAAACATGATTTAAGAATATGTATAAAAATAAATTATGTGAAAAAAAATAAATTTATTAAAATTTTATTAAATAAAATTCTGAAAAAACAGAAAATAAAATTTTTGAACTTTTAAAAAAATTGTAAAAAACTATAAATATAAATAGTTCAAACTCTATTGATTATTTAATAAAAATGCTAAAAATTATATTTAATAAATGAAGATAAAAGTTTTTAAAAAGTTCAATTTTTTATTTTTTAGTTGTTTCCTATGTTTTGTCAACATAATTTATTACTTATTTTTATTTTACTATTATAACGAAAAAAAATATTGTAGGATTCATCAATTTTAAAATGTATATATTATTTAATAATATATTAACATAAAATTATTTTATTTTACTTAGCAATCTAATTTAATAGAATAAAATGTCATAAATTTTTTTTTTCCAAAATTTCGAATTAAATGTATTTTTTAGTAAACGTTTTTTTTTTAGAATGAAAAATTAAATATGTTTTCAACAATTTTAAAATAGACTTTTAAAGTAGAAACCTTAAATAAAGTCAAAGTTCAAAATTGAAATGCAAACCAAATGGTCCTTAAATATTGTCCTGACCAAAAATTTAAATAAAATAAAGCTTGGGGACTGGTTGGTGGAAAATTGTTATTATATTTTCTGTATTCCTTTTCCCCTCTTGTTCGAAGTTTGGACTCCTGAGAGGTACGATCTCTTACTGGATTTCAATCCCCCCAACAATTTTACTTCTTAGAATCCTCGTGCCTATGTATATATTTTCCTTCAATCAATTATTGAATATTAATTTTGTCTCTTAATCGTACTTTCTGAGCTACTATAAACAAAACCAATCAAAACCCCTGACCATAATTGTTTTGCGCCCCTGTTGTTTCCATAATTCTAGAATTGTTGATCTAGAGTTGTAAAAAAAGGATCTTTATAACGAAAACTTTGTATTGTGTGAGAATTTGTGGGTGTATATATATAATATTTAATTAATGGCGAATGCGGATGAGGATGATGCTGTTTTGAGCGATGTTGAGGCCGATGATCCGGTGCCTATTGATATAAAAATCCCTTTGCCGGAAGCTGTTTCGGTGGAGAGATTCCAGGACGTTCTTGCGGAGCTTGACCGGGAGAGGATAGCCCGTCAGGCCGTGGAGAACTCCAAGAATGACCTTCAGGTTCAGTTTAATAGGCTTAAAGTGCTTTGCCACGAGGCGATCAAGAAGCGCGATGAGAGCTCGAGACAGCGTGATGAAGCATTGAGGGATAAGGAGGAGATGTTGGGGAAATTGGAGAAGGTTTCTGGGGAGTTGAGTGAGGAAATCAAGTTAAAAGATGAGGCCCTGAGGCAAAGGGAAGAGGTTTTACTACAGTTAGAGGAGTTGGGGAAAGCAAGGGAGTTGTCCCGAGTTGAAATGGAGACAGGATCATCAATGTTAGTTAGTGGAATTGAGAAAATATCAAAGAAAGTTAGTAGTTTTAAGGATTTTGGAGTAAATGGATTGCCGAGGTCAAATCAATACACAGGACTTCCAGCAGTGGCATATGGTGTAATTAAGAGGACGAATGAGATTGTGGAAGAGCTTTTGAGGCAGAATGAGTTGAATGTGAAGTCCAGGAACGAGGCTAGGGAGTTAATGGAGCAGAGGAATTATGAGATTGCCATTGAAATTTCTCAGCTTGAGGCAACCATTAGTGGGTTGAGAGAGGAGGTGGGGAAGAAAAGTGAGGAAATTGAGAGCTTAAAGAAGTCTGTGGATGAGAAAAAGGGGCAGGTAGCTGAATTGGAAAGTGAGTTTTTGGAGAAGCAGGAGGCATTGGATAATGAAGTGGCGAGGCTGAGGCTGTTGGTGAGCGATTACGAGTCAAAGATTGAGTCACAAAGGCCGTTGTTGGTAGATCAATTGAATTATGTATCAAGAATTCATGAAAAGATGTTTGATATTATGAAGATTGTTGATGCTAATAAATCCTCTGAGTTGTCTGAATCGTTATTCCTCGCAGGAGAAACAGATATAGAGGAAAATATTAGGGCGTCCTTGGCAGGAATTGAGTCTATATATGAATTGAGTAAAATTGTCGTTGAGAAAACAAGGGATTTGATGGAACAGAGGAGTCGTGAAGTGACAAGTCTAAATGAGACGGTTTCTCAATTAGTAAAGGAGAAAGAACAAATTGGCTCTTTATTGAGAAGTGCTTTGTCAAGAAGAACGTCAGTGGACTTGTCATCAAAAACAAATGAATTGTTTAAAGTTGCGGAGAATGGATTAAGAGAGGCTGGGATAGATTATAACTTCAGCAAACATCTTGGAGAGAGGAAGTTTCAAGATTCTAAGGATATATCGGTTGGTGGGGAAACAGAAAAAGATGAAGTTTATGCTCTTGTAAGTATGTTTTTAAGTGTTAGTTTCATGATGAACTCTCATTCTTGTAAGTATATTTTGTAGTGTTAGTTTCATGATGAATTTTCATTCTTCTTTTTCCTCTTATAATTCACCATTCTTAATGCAGGCTAGTGCACTGGAGGATATCATTAAACAGTCTCAGCTTGAGATCATTGAGCTAAAGCATTCTGTGGAGGAACTCAGGTAACCTATTTTAGATATGTATTTTTGTTATTTTATTTGTAATTTGACTTTTCTGCAAATATCATAACATATAAATGTTCGCCTTAGGTGGCCCCTGATCTGTCTATACCAAGGTCGAAGTCCTAGCAACATGGCAAATTTGGCTATTATCAATTCCTCCTTTCTCAGATGATAGAATAAAATAGGACATAATGCACTGATCATTAATCGAGAGTAAAATAAATTATCAATGTATCAAGATACTTTCTAAGAATGTATGTGACATAGAATGGAATGTGTGACGCCTATACCTCATTTGTCTGTATCATCTAAAAACACGCAAACACTCGACATGTAAATATGATGCACACAGCACAATTTCATTCTATTTTGAAAATTTCTAACAATGTGATATCACTGATACCATTATGTTCATCGAATATCAACAGTAGCCAAACTAACACTTGGTAACTTGATTCTGCTACGTTCAATTTCAAAAGCTGTGATATTACTAATATAGTTATGTTTGTGTCATCTCAAATGTAGGCAACCAATTATTGACATCTTGATTTCTTGATAATAACAATATTTTGAAATGGCCTGTGACGATTTGTTATACACAAGGAACTTGTTTACATGAGAAAAACATTGACCTGAGCTATTATAACGCGGGTAATTTTCATGCTACAATATAATACTGGAGCTTAAATTTTTTAGTTACTTTTGCTAAGATATTGTAGGAACTCTAGCATTTTCTTTGGACCTTATTTTCTCATCTATCATTTTAGTGAATTTATTGGTTGATGATTTTCGTATAATATTTTTTTCCGTTACAGTTTAACAGCTTAAAGATATCGAATTTTCTTATTCATGTATTTGGTTTTTCTTACTGTATTAATATTAAGATTTACATTTTTCCTTTTAATTTCTTTTCTAGAAATTTGAGTTCGTCTACACAGCCCTTTTTAAGGTTTTCTCCTTAGTTTTCCTTTAAAAACTTATAAGTTTACATGAATTATATTTTATACTTCTTGGCTCTTGCACTTCTGTCTGCACCAATATTAGCTTAGAAAAAAAATAAAAATTGCTTTTTAGTAATTTTTCATTACAACTTGATGAACTCGTAAACGAGAAAGAATCATTAGTTTATGGCGTGACTCGAGAAGGGAA